GGTACAGGTACATAATACATCTCAATTCTTATCTCCTGGCATGAAGACAAGGCCCTCTTCCCTAGCAGAACTGCTGAAACTTAGCCAGATAGTAATGGGTAACAGTGAAGAGGCCTGGCATGGGGTGGTGCATGCCTCTAATCGCAGCACTTGGAAGGCTGAAGCAGGAGGATCACAGCAAGGTTAAGGCCAGCTGAGGCTTCATAGTAAGTTCAAGGCCAGACTGAACTACATAGTGAGACCCTGTATCAAGAAACAAAGCAAAAACAAAAACAAAAAAACAACAAAACAAACTTTGAAGAAACTTTTTCTGTGTGTTATATGCTATTCTAGCTGCTTTGAATGGGTTATTTTTTAACCCTTTAAGCAATTGTATGTTAGGCACTACTATTAACTGAGAGATGAGTAAAATGAAGCTCAAAGATCTTGTCCAAGGTCATACAACTCTGAGGCCCCAGGGCTGGCATCTGAACTAAACAGTTTCATTCCAGAACCATACTCTTAACCACTTCCTCCCTTCTTGCTGGGGAACGACATGGATCTTGTCTACCAGGATCCACTTCTGTGCTCTCGCCTAGCTCTTCTTTTAGGCAGAGTTCATCCAGTTTTAATTATCGGCTCTCTGCTTTGCAATCCTTGTTTTCTAATAGATTGGCAGGGAAACTGTTGTACAGACATCTTAGGCTGCCAAGGCGCAGCTGCTCAGCTCTCCTGTTGGTACAGAGCACTCAGCTGTCACTCCCCATGTAGTGCTGCTGTGGAATTGCCAGGGGTCTTCCTTTCTCTCCCTCTCTGCTTTCTTCTTTCCAGTCTTGCTTGCTTGCTTGCTTGCTTGCTTTCCTATCTGTCTCTCTGTTTGTCTGTTTTTCAGTCCTGGGGGTCAAACCCAGGATCTTGTGCATGCTAACCAATCACCCTACCAGCTACACCTGCAGTCAAACTACAGTATTAAATTTCTATTAAACTCCTTTTGTTAGCCATGATGATGCATGCCTATAATTGCAGCTACTCAGGAGGCTGAGACAGGAGGATTGCAAGTTTGAAGGCAGCAATATAGTAAGACCCTATCTTGGTATAAAAAGGGCTAGGTGTTTACTCAGTGGTAGAATGCTTGCCTAGCATGTGTGAGGCTCTGGCCTCAAACCCCAGTACTGCCAAAATAAAAACAAAAAAGAAGCATACTTAAATAAACAAACAGAAGTTGTTTAAAGTTGTTTACCTTGAGTTTTGCTGGGCTGTGCTGACTAGCAGCTCCTGCAGACAGCGTGGACCAGCAGGGATGTGGGTTGGACAGGTGCGTTCAAGGTCAGCCCCTTCTAGACCACAGCCTGGCTCTTTGGCCGCCAAGTGAGACTATCATGGTGTAATCATTAACTCCAGAAAGTGCACAGATAAGTACCAGAGCCTCTGCCTTTTGCCACCCAGAGGCAGTATCTGTTGATGTTCTGAGATGGAGAGAGGGAATGACAGAGGTGACTGTGATGGGGTGGCAGACCCAGGACTGACCCTGCGGAGGCAGATCGGGCTGTGGAGTGCTGTGTCCATGGTCACTGGCTGTATGATCGGCTCTGGCATTTTCATGTCACCACAGGGGGTCTTGGTCTACATGGGCAGTCCTGGGGCAAGTCTGGTAGTCTGGACAGTGTGTGGTATCCTGGCCATGCTGGGAGCCCTGTGCTATGCTGAGCTGGGTGTCCTGTTTCCTGAAGCAGGTGGGGAGTATGCCTACATCTTGCGAACCTTCGGCTCCTTGCCAGCCTTTCTGGTCATTTACCTATTTGAGCTGGTGAGAAAACCAGCTGGGATTGCTGCTATCTCTCTGAGCTTGGCCGAGTATGCACTGGCTCCCTTTTACCCAGGGTGCCTCTCAGTGCCCCAGGCTTTGATCAAGTGTGTGGCTGCCTCCTGTATCCTGGTGCTGATGCTAGCCAACTTCTGGAGCACGGGGCTGGCCACCATGCTGACAAATGTGTGCTCAGCCGCTAAGCTGTTCTCGTTGCTGGTCATTGTGGGGGGTGGGGCTGTGGTGCTGGGCCAGGGCAGAGGCCGCACAGAAGCATTTCAGTTTGCCTTCCACAACACGACTCACCAGGTGGGACATGTTGGCATGGCCTTCTACCAGGGACTGTGGTCTTTTGATGGCTGGAATAGCGTTCACAGTGTGGTGGAAGAGCTCAAGAATCTTGAGGTGAGTCCATAATGCTGTTCCAGGGGTGAATCTTGAACATCAGCAGCTCCATGTCTGAGATGACTGAGATCATGAGCATGGGCTCCCTTGCTGCTTATATATGACAGACTTCTCAAGAAAGCAGAGAACTTTATAGTATCCAGACCATGATCTCATCTTTCTGCCCTGTGAGGTAGGCCCTTATCACTCCATTTTTTTCATGTGGGAAAAATGAGGTTTAGGGAAGGGAAATTAGTTTAAATTCATGCTGCTAAGAAGAGGCCATGTTTGGTGATTCTGCTTGATATCTCCTGGCTTGCTCTACCCAGATCTTTGTAGTAGATACTTAACTCATAGTTGCTAGAGCCTGGGGGCCACTATGGAACATAGTGCACTTTGGGACAGGACAAACCAATCCTGCTGGCACACCCTACCTATGAACCTGGGGCTGATTTGTCATTGTCATGGTGGGGGGCAGGTCTGCAGGGCAGCTTGGGACTCAGTTGGGGCACTTGGATCTTTGATGAGTTAGGAAACTAACCCTTCATTATGAATGTATTTGCTTAGGATGTTAGTTGCTTTTTGTTTTATTTTTCCTGCAGGATTTTCCAGTTCTTCCAGAATGAGAACAGCCAGCTTAAGGGACATTACAGCTCTCGGAGTCTTGGCAGAGGCTCCAGGAGGGGAATTTGGGAGAAGATCTTAGAAACTGAAATCTAAAAGCAGGGGAAGAAAGAGAGAGAGAGAGAGAGAGAGAGAGAGAGAGAGAGAGAGAGAGAGAGAGAGAAACAGATTGATTTGGGGCAAGAGTCAAGAGACCTGCGACCTAGTTTTTACTTTTGTGTATAATTTGTTGTTCTTCAGCTCTTTGTTTATAGAATGGAACTGATCTTAATAGCTGCCTGCTGCCTTCCTGGGCTCTGGGGTGTCGGTGCACACCGGCTCACAGCAGATAGTTTGGGGTCTGAGCCTGGAAGCAGCTGTACTTCTGTTGTGTGTCCTCAGATTGCCTCTAGGTCAGGCAAGAGGCTACAGAGCAGAGGCTCCTTCATGCAACAAGGATAGAAGCCCCTGTCCCTGGGGGTTGGGGAAGGAGCGGGAGCCTAATGATGTGTAAGACATGCATCCACGCTTACCACAGTGCTCAGCAAGCTTTTCTGTGAAGGGTCAGAGGGGTACATTTTTAGGTTCTGGGGGTTATCAGTCCTTGCCCTGTCAGTTTAACTCTGCTGTAGCATGGAAACAGCCCTAAATAAACAAAAGAAGTGTGGCTGTGTCCCAGTACAACTTTATCAGGCTGGATTTGGTCCCCAGCTGTAGTTTGCTATCCAGAGCGTTTCTGATGAATGTGGGTTTCAAAGTAAGGCCTAAACTAGTCCTCAAATGTTGACTTTAGAGATTCTTTTCTAACATGGTCCTCTAAAATATGCATTAGGTATATCTCTATTTCATACTTTCTTTCAAGAAACTGCAATACTTGTTCCAAACAAGGTCCAGAATTATGGATCTAGGATCTGAGTGTAGAATGAAGACCCCTGAGAATGAAATCAGAAAATTTCACTGTTCACTCTTCTTGTGGTGTCTTGACCAGTGACCTATTCATAACATAACTCAGGCACTGCCACTGTCATGCCTCATGACAGGTGGGAGGGCTGTCTAGAGAGAGGTCAAGTTCAGAAACATGCCGGGCCTTGGGGCTGGGTCATGCGTGCCGGGAGCTCACCTTGCTGAGGACACCCCTCAGTGATGCCCGTGGGAAGGAGAACACTGTATACCTACTCTGTGGGTGGCCTCATCTGGACCTTGCCAGAGCCAGATTCCAGGGCTGGGGTGATGAGGAATCAGCTCATGCTGTGGTACAGCAATTTCTTTTGCACTGAGATTCCTGGGTATTAGTTCTGGAAGGGACCTGGAGGACCCAGCTCACAGAAGAGCTGCTGCTGTCCTGTTCGCTTCACTTTCACTAATTTGTAAATGGTCTGCTTGGCGGGGGCGTGAGTAAAGAACAGAGCTGAGCAGTCACCTGAGGCTTCCCAGGGGAGGACCCTGGCGCTGGCCTGGCAGGCTGGTGGGATATGTGGAAACACAGCTCTGTAGAAGCAGCAAGGACTTGAATATGGGGGCCAGAAAGGACAATGTATGTTATATTCCTAAGAAAGAAGGGAAATGAGGGTAGCATCATTACTGGGACCAGACTTGGAGACCTGCAGCAGGTCCCAAGATGACTGCTCCACCCCTGGTGTCTCCTCTTCCCTCAGGGTGTCCACCTCCACACTTTTCTGTGGGCAGCTCTCGGCCCTGGCAGAAAGGTCTGGAAGCTGCTTTTTCTGTAATGCTGAGGCAGAGGAGCCCATATGCTACCCAAGGAAAGGTGCTTCAATGAGGGGAGAGTCCTATCTAGGGAATAGCAAACTAATGAGGTTTTAAATTTTCTTCTCTTCCCTTAACCTTCTCATGGTTGCCCCTGCTGGAAATTTTCTTTCTCACTTGCCTGAGTCTCTCCTGCCTGTCCAGGAGAACTCTGCTTAAGGTCCTCCACATTCTGGAGGCTTTGCTGATCATGCCATTCCCTGCCTCACCCTGTCACCCCTTCTGTACTTATGCTGCCCTGGTTCTGGCAAGAACCCCTCAAGGGCTTCTAGCCCATCTGCTGGAATGTATGTCAGGCTGTGGACATCCTGAGCTTGTAGAAGAGGGACACACAGTCTTCATCCCCAGGGCTTTGCACAGTGCCCAGTGCCAGGAGGATCTCAGTACTGTGCTGCTGACCTTGTCCTGGGGGCCTAGAAAGATCTTACAGGCTAACGTGTGCCTTCCTCTTCTCAACCTACAGCAGAACCTGATGTTGGCACTGACAATCTCCATCCCCCTGGTCACCAGCCTATATATCCTGGTCAATATCAGTTACTTCTTGGTGCTGTCACCCCGTGAAATCCTCTCCTCTGAGGCTATAGCTATGAGCTGGGGGTAAGTGATCAATGCTGTGTCATTGGACATCAGGCAGATGACTCAGGGTGGGGAAAGATGTGCTCTGTGTGTACTGGAACTTGCCTTTGATGTGCCACTTGTTCCACTTTCAACTTGTAACCTTGATCTGGATTGCAGCTAAAATTCCTTCCCTTGATTGCTGTGTTGTCCTAGAAACCAGGTTCTGGGCTCCTGGGCCTGGCTGATCCCTGTGGCTGCCACCCTCTCAGCATTTGGTTCTGCCAATGTGGTGTTCTTCAGTGGCAGCCGTGTGTGCTATGCAGCTGCAAGAGAGGGCCACATGGTGAGAGAGGGGTCCGGGCCTGGCAAGGTGGCGGGTTGCAGGAGGGTGCAGGGAGGCCTGCCAGCTATGCTTTCTCCTGCCCAAAGGGCATCATGTAGTTCGAATCAGCGCTTCCCCAGGAAGACTTGGCTCTCTTTTATCTTGAGAGCAACACTGAAGCATTCCACATCTCTCAGTTTTAGCTATAATCCCTTTACTTCCAGGTTTCAGGGTGACACAGAGTGGAGGGCATGGCTGATCGGGATATTTGAGCATCACAAAGGTGCAGAGGGCCCAGAGGGCCCATGACGGCCTCTTCCACCAGAGACCCTTTGTCCCTGTGTAAGCTTTTCCTGTAAGAATAATGTTGAATGTCTCAGCCACTTGCAGCAACATTTAATTGCTTCTTGTTGCATCAGCCATGGCCCTTTTTGTTCAGTCTGCTTCTACTGCACCAAACTCATTCCTATTTCAGGGACCCAGGCCAAAGCAGTAGTGACTCTGGGGCCTGTGTGTGTACCTCGAGTGGTGGTCAGGGCTACAGGCAGCCAAGTCACACTTACAGCCTCTGCTTGTCACTCCTGCTCATATTTTGTTGGCCAAACAAGTGGGCTGCTGAGCCCATATCAACTGTATTCCTTTTGCAGAGGGAGAGCTCAGTAACCCGATACTCCCCCCTGTGACCCACCTAGGCCTACCCTGACCTCTCTTCCCTGGGCCTGCTCACCCCAGGTGAAGGACAAAGATCTGTGCCTGAAAGCTCTGGTGACTCCTAGGCTGGGCACACTGGTATCCACATCCACAGTGTGTTTGTCAGGGGAAGGAACCCCCACTGTGGGTCCCCTGGGGTCTGCCTGACACTTGGCTCTGCTTCCCAGCCCCAACTTCTGTCCATGGTCCATGTGAATCACCTCACCCCAGCCCCTGCCCTGATGTTCTCCGCAGCCCTGGCTTTGGTTCTGGTCATCCCAGGGGACTTCAGGACCATCGTGAACCTCTCCAGGCAAGTGAAACTGTCTCTTGGGCTGGGTATCAATGTCCTTTACATGCACACACTCACACACATGCACACACTCACACGCATGCACACATACATGTGCATGTCACACATACTTCTGGAAGCTAGGCTCAGGGTCCTCACAGTCATGTTTCAGCCATTATTTCCCAATCATGTTTTCAAAATCAAGTGTGACTCTCTCCTTTCTTGGTCTGGGTTGCTCCTGAAAATTTAGTAAGACAAGTTTTTCACCAAGAGGCAGATAGTGGTTTGAGCTGTCTTTGTCATTTTTTTCTTTCTTGTTCTTTTACTCAGTTGCTAAGATAATGTGAAAGGACATTCAGGCTTTGTATAAGGTGATGTGGGCATGATGTGATTTTCCCTTTGCGGTCTGGATCTGGCTTCTGAACTCTCACCTGACATGATCTCAATTGGACTCACAGTAGACCCATGCTTATCTAGGCACAGTTACTGACTGCATCAAAGCAAGATGTTCTGACCCCATTTTACTGCTTTCCTAGGACAGAAATCACAAGCTGTTGTGATGGCCAGCTGTAATTTTATGAGCTCATTTGAAGTAGGGTGAATAGGCAGATCTACAGCCCAGTGGATGAGCCCTATTCCAGGTGCACAGGGGTCCTCAGTGATTTTTAAGGCATCACATGCTTCTTTGTTTGTAATTAATCTGGAACAGGACATACAGTGCATGATGTGACTCTCTTAGGAACAATAAGTAACAGATGTGTCTTCTTTCTTTTATCTTTTTCCCATGAGAAAGAATAAAATTAGATGGTGAGGATAAAGTAAAAGCCATAGAGATAGCAGGGGGTTTTCAGGTGGCTATCAGGAAATGTGGCTGAGAATGTCCCAGCAGAGTGAGAACCTGAGGACAATCCATCCCAACCAGACTCAGCACTTCGCAGCCTTAACCTTCTCAAGAGATGGCTGGGGCCTCACTCCAAGGGAACATGGGATTTTTATCACACTGACATCAGCCGCTCAATCACAGACCTGAGGGAGGGCAGTGAAAGGGCTTTATCAGGGTGCTGAGCAGCCTTCATGTCCTGGAAGGGGGAGGACTCTGCTACAAGTGTTCTGTTCCTGCAGAGTGCAGGCTTCCTCGATGTCCGACAAACTCCCCTCCTTTGCTTTGAACCCGTCCTCCTGGTGCAGCCAGGGCCATCAGAGAAGTCCTGATCTAGACTTGTCCTTGCAGCTCCCTGTCTTGGATCACCTATGGGATGACCATCGGCTGTCTCTTGTACTTGCGGATAAAGACAAAGAATCTTCCCCAAACTTACAAGGTAACTTTTGGAAAGTTGTTCAGCTTTTTTGACCCAATAATCCTACATGAGGCAGGTCTTTGGCTGTGACCTCCTTCAAGGCCCAGATTGTGTAAGGATGTAAAGGGTTATCATTATCATCATTCTTGGTAGAGAATTTCTGTATTTCCAGGGGATGAGGGACAACTGAGTCACAATGCATTAACTGTGTTTGTTGAAGACTGGTTTCTCTTTGGGAGGACTGTGAAGGAGAATGATAAGAGACAAATGCAGAGGATGCATGAAAACTTGTTTTCATAATGCAGAGAAGCTCATGCTGAGGCCCCAGTCTCTGCTCCCCATACTGCCTCCCATAGCCCAGCAGGTGGCTTTCCTAGCCCAGTTGAGGTATCCTGGCAGTGACTAGAGGAGAAAAGTTGGTGGCAGGTGGGAGCAACAGGAAAGCAGGCAGGAGGGACAGAGCGAGGGCAAGAACCACCTCCTACGCCCCCTTCATCATCCAGCTGTCTGGGACCAAATGCCCACTGTGTCCACTGCAGGTTCCTACATTCATTCCCGCCATCATGATCCTGGCTGCTCTTTACCTGGTGCTGGCACCCATCATTGACAACCCACAGATGGAGTTCCTGTACGTCTTCTTGCTCCTGCTCAGTGGCTTCCTGGCATATTTCCTGTTTGTCTACTGCCAGTACCAACCCAAGTGTTTGCAGATAGCCACCCTGCATCTCCAGCTGCTCCTGCAAGTTGCTCCAACCACTAAACATTGACTGAGGGGCTGGACTTGCTATAGACCCCTGTTCTTTGCTGAAGACCCCTCTGTTCCTGCACAAATGGCCTTGCCAGTTTCTCTCTGGGTTGACTGCATAATTCTAGTAAGCTCTTAAGTGTTGTGACAGTTTTGGGTTATCCACCAGGACAACGCTCCCAACCCTCTTCTCTAAGAACTGTCTCTTCAACGCAGCTATGCTGGTGTTACATGACTGCCTCTCTGAGTACAAATGGCCATTTGATTGCTGTTTGCAACATAAGCGGCACTATGCAATAAGTTCCCTCTTTCGAATTTTGTAATGAGGATTCTATGGTCTTATTTGGCTTCAAATGATTGCTTGAGCTGAAGAATTATACACCCTGGGGTCAGTGTGGGGTCATCTTTCATCATGTAGTCAGAGAAGTAGGAAAAACTACTGTGGTGAAAAGAATAAAGAAGACAAGCAATGAGATGTTTTTGAGAAATTATGGGCAGCTGAAGTTTGGGGTAGGGTGGGGTGGGTCTGAGAGAGTAGCAGCAGCCTTGCCCCTAACTGCTTTCTGGTTCTTACCTCTGTCCTATGGTTCCTCTGATGGTCCTTCCTGCTTTTTTAAAAAGTGGTATTGGCGAGGAAACCCAGGGCCTCATGCATAGTAAGTATGTGCTTTGCCACTGAGCTATAGTGCTAGCTTTTTGATTTCCTAGAACAATCTGATAACTTACAATAAATCTCCTGGTTTAACTCGAGTGAGTTTGGTTTGGTTGTTCCTCACAACTAGAAAAGATGAGTCTGCCAATCCTTCTTGTGCTGTAAGACAGGACATTTAGTTAGGCTTGAAGATCACTTGCTTGAACAGGAAAAGAAACAAGGGCTGTGTCCCTGGGAAAGAGGGGTTAACAACTTTGGGTAAAAGATACAATAATTAAATTTCTAGAAGAAAAGATCTCTAGAATAATTCTTAGAACACTAAGGTGGTTATAGGACTGAATGGGGACAAGGGACCAGAAATACCTGGCTGTCCAGGAGAGAATGTAGGTGCGAACAGAATGGTACGCTATCTAGAAGGAGGCTGGGAGGGCAGTTGTGGAGTGTATCTGGGGAGGTGACTCAAAAGATGGGCCAGCTTCTCTGCTTTTGAAAACTGGACCTCAGCAGCCTGTGCATGGCTTTGATGCTGATATGGGAAAGGCCACAACAGAGTCAGGGCAACTTCCATGAGCCTGCTTCTCAGTAGGTTCTTTTGCTCACAACAATCAATTCTCCATTTCTCTGACACCAGCCAGAAGTCTAATAATTCAGTTCAGTTCAATTCAATTCAATTCAATTCAATTCAACTCAATTCAATTCAATTCTGACACTTTGTAGAGTTAGCCCACACTCCAGGTGGGCTAAAACATCTCCAGCTGCTCCTGCAAGTTGCTCCAACCACTGAACATTGACTGAGGGGCTGGCCTTGCTATAGACCCCTGTTCTTTGCTGAAGACCCCTCTTTGCTGAAGAGTCCTCTATAAGACTGAATGGTCCAGAAGATTGGTTCCAGGTTCCAGAAGATTGCTGTCTTTGCCAACCTTGGCTATAAGGGTTGGGGCCCCGGGGTACCTACTCTTATGTTTGATGAGAAGTTGCAGGTTTCCACAAACCTTCTCCTTCAAATTTGACCATTTGTGAGAATGACTCACAGGACTATCTTGAGTCCACTGTGTTTATGATTAAAGGTTTATTGTAAAGGATTCAGGCAGGAACAGTCAAATGGAAGTGATGCAGAGGGCATGATATGGGGGCAGGTGGAGCTGTGACATCCTCTTTTGGGGCACTGTCCTCCCAGAACCTTGATATATTCACTAACCTGGGAACTCTCCAAATCCAGTTATTTAGGGATTTCATGGAGGTTTCATTAGCAAGGCATGTAAATGAAATCATTTCCATTGGTGATTGAACTCAATCCCAGCTTCTCTCTCTCCCTAGAGGCCAGGGATAAGGTCAACAGTCCCAACCCTGGAGCCATGCCTTGGACTTTCAGGAGCCTGATTGTGGAGCTATCCATCATGAAGCTGTGTAGGACTGCAGCCACCTGTCATCACACTGGCATACAAAAGACACACCACTCCAGGGATTCCAGGGGTTTTAGGAGGAGTGTGCCAGCAACTGGGAATAAGAATTAAATATTTACTTTCTGTTATACCACACTCTGAATTGTGAGCTCCTGTGTGTGTGTGTGTATGTGTTACTGGGGACTGAACCTGGGGTTTTTGTACAGAACTACGTACCAGCCTAAAGTGGGCACCAGCGTGGGTCATGTCCCCTGTTTCAGTGAGATCTCACTTTATGACTCAGTCCTCCTGTCCTTCCCCAAACCAACTGTCTTTTGGCTCCCAGTCCTGCTAGGACAGGAAAGGACAGGCCCCAGGCAGGCTCTGTAAGGCAGCTTCCTGCCCCTTGCTGTTGCTCAGTACACTTCCCTGGAGCCCTACCCTGCCTCAGCTTCCCTCATCGGCCCCAGGCAGTAGTGGGGAGCAATGTGGATGGGAATCTGGGACTTCTCAGGGAGGCAGTATGTAGGACATTCTTGCTCAGGTCAAAGTCATGGTCTCTCTGATTATTTCTCTTCTGTAAAGCCAGACGTGACATAGAAAGTATCATGCTCTCAGCATTTGTACTAGAAAAAAATGTTCTGAGTCTTGGTGACAAGGACCAGGAGTCCTCCCTGTTCCCTTTAGAGAAGTGATAGATGCCAGGAAATGTCTGGGGCAGGTGCTGGCCCGGCCCTTGCAGCAGAGCAGCGTTTTTTCATCCTGGCTCTGGCCCATCAGCATCTTCAGGTTTCTGTTTTGGGTGAAGTCTGGTAGTTCTGAGTCATGAGCACTCAATTTCTTGGTTTTCCTTGGTCAATTATACTGTCTTTTGCTGAATAGTTAGAATAAGGACCTGGGTCTTATAGATCCATCCATGTGAATTAATGTCATGGTTAAATTTTTAAACATTACAAAAGAGTGTATAGTAAAAATTAAAATTTCTCTACACTCTGCATTTTAGAAGGCAAGGCCTTGCCACCTTCTGGGGAGTTGTACATGTGCAGGTAATCCATGGTGGAGAGTCTGCTGCAGCTCTGCTCATAGTGGAAATCATGACCTACTCAGCTCCCCCTGGTAAGGGGAAGTTAGTTTCCCTTTCCTGTCATCACCCCCTGACCTAGGATCTGAGTTTTCTACAGTGGCAGTCATTAGTGCCAGTCACCATGTATTTCTAGGCTCCTTCTGAGTGCATGGCAGGATTGAACTCACATGTCCCCATGCAGTTAGATATGACTTGTTCTGGTCAATAAAATATGAGGTGAAATATGGTTGGTCTAGGCTGAAACTTCAAGGGCTATTTCTCTCTGCTTTAGTGCCTTGTGATGTTCTATTGGCCTGGCCCTAAAGTAGGAATGATGGAGAGGCAGTCCCAGTGACAGTGAGAGGCTCCGGAGGCCCAGATAGGAATGTACTGTAAGCAAAATTAACCTTCTGTGATACTGCGATGTAATAAGACATATATTTTTAGTCTTTGTCTCTAGTTCTGGCCACAGAGTCCTAAAACCCTTGTAACTTTCTGAGTGATAGTGGTTAGAGGAATCCTTTTAATTATTCCATAAAAGCCCTGTCCACCACACTAGAGTATTTGTTAATGAGGTGATCAGGGAAGGAGCCTAGTGACCAGAAGACCCAACCACATCACCTAAGGATTGGAAGTTTCCCCACTCCCTGACCTTTGTGGTAGGAAAGGCTGAAGATGGAGTTTAATTACCAAATATTCAACATCTCTGGCCACCACAGAAATGACAATCAAAACAAAATTGAGATTCCATCTTATTCCTGGGAAAATGGCTATCACCAAAAGAGCAAACAGTAACAAATGCCAGTGAGCCTGGGGGTTGTTGATGGGAATGTACACTGGTACAACCACTATGGAAATTGTTGTGGAGATTCTTCAGAAAACTAAAACTAGCAATTCCATTTAACTCAGCTATTCCCCTTCTAGCTATTCTTCTGGAAGCATTCAAGACATGATACCACAGAGATTCATGCATACCCATGTTTATAAGTAGCACAACTCATAGTAGCTAAACCTTGGAAGCAGCTTGGATATCCATCAACATATGAATGGATAAAGAAAATATGGTATTTATACATAATGGAGTACTATTTTGCCATAAAGAAGGATAAATTTGAGTCATTTGTAGGTAAATGGATGCACCTTGAAACCATAATGTTAAGTGTAACAAATCAGACATACAAGCTTAACTGTCACCTATCTTCTTTTATATGAGAAGCCCAAAGTATAAATAATTTAAAGAGCAAAATAAAAGATAGATGATAGGGAATAGGGAGATAGAGCTTTTGCAAATGGGAAAGGGATCTAGAGATAGAGGGAGGAGAGAGGAATGGGAAGGTAAAGAGGGATAAAAAGAATGGAGATGTGTCAAGTGCATGTACCTGGGCCCTATGATAAATGCAAACCTTATGTACTGCAAACATGTGCTAAGAAAAAATTTTTAAATCACCAAAGACCAATACCTACCTAATGGCCACTCCATAGAAGCCCTAAGTAGAGGGCTCACAGAGCTTTGCTGGCTGAGCACACAAGGGGCCAGGCGGGCCGTGTGTCCAGAGAAAGCAAGGCAACTCCATGCCTCTCCCACTGTGCCGTGTGAACCCCTGTGTCTGACCTTCATTTGTATCCTTCATAATAAACTGTAGACATGAATGTTTTCCCTGTGAGCCATTACAGCAACTTGCAAAACATGAGGATGGGGTCCCGGGAACCCTGATTTATTGCCTGGTTGGCCCAATGGCATCTGAAGTGGGGTACAAGTCCTGTGACAAAGCCCTTCTGGTGGGTCTGAGCTCAGGCTGGGTGTAGGGTCTCAGAACTGACTGAGGCTGCCGCATACCTGGCTGGAGTTGGGGGAGCTGCGGAACAGCGGCGGGCGGAAATCAGCCACAGATTCAGGGCTGGAGCTGCCCTCCAAGGGGGCTTATCTCCTCACTCACACACTCCTGGGCCTCACCCATCCTCTGCATCCTCCCCATACCACCCTGCCTCTGCTTTTCCTTCCCTTTCCACAGGCACTGTCTTATCTTACTTCTGGGAGAGGAGAAACTGGATCTGCATAGAAAAACTTGGTCTCCAGAGGACTTTAGATCTTTGTTCTTTCTTAGGCTTGGGCTGAAGAAGGAAAAATGACACAGCCCAGCCCTGGGGGCACCAGTGTGTGAGAAGGAGGGAGATACACACACAGAGGAAACAAGCAGATGGTGACTGTCAGACATACCACTGACCCCTGGGGATAAACTGAATACATGGATCCCCTTATAGCTAGATAGAGACATTTCTAAGAAATCTTTAATAATTTATCGTGGAAGCCTTTTCATATGCCCCCTTTTATGTCAGGTTCTATCAGTCAGTGTTCTCTAGAGAGACTGAATCAATGGCATACATGCATAGTTTTGGGGGCCTTACTGGAGAATCAGTCTGCAGTTATGGCAGCTGAGAAGTCCTTGCAAGACTTTCTGCAAGCCGGGGATGCTGGCGTGCCAAAAGTGGAGCTCAGGCCAAGTCCAAGACTCTGAGGAACTGGGGATGCCCATGATATCACCCTTGTGTGGAGGTTCAAAGCCAGACACGGAGAACCAGGGAGAAGGTTCTCCAGTAAGTCCTGGATGGGAGGGCCACAGCGCCTGGCCTTCCGATGCCCAAGGGGGAAGCATCTCCCGGCTGTGGAAGGGACCAGCCATGTCCTATTGTATTTGTTCACTGTTGGACAGAGCCTGCCCAGGTGAAGGGTGGGTCTTTCCCATCTAGTCTGTTCTTGGTTTTTTTTTTTTTTTTGGTTTTTCTCCGGTACCGCGAACCGAACTCATGACCTTGCGCTTGCCAGGCAGGAGCTTTGCCACTGAGCTAAATCCCCAGCCCCTTGTTCTTGGTTTAAGTTCTGGTCTTCCTCTGGAATTAGTGTTTGCCATTATTTTTTCCTATAAATTTCCCATATACATTTTAAATACGTGAAATTCACTTAAACCATACAGTTACTCTGACACAGACTATAGGTTTGTTGACTACTGATTAACTTATAGAACACTGATGGTTTGTTTGTTTATTTTTAGAGATAGGGTCTTGCTATGTAGTGCAGGCTGACCTTGAACTGACTATGCAGCTTAGGCTGGCCTTGCATTCACAGTGATTCTTCTGTCTCAGTCTTGCGAGTGTTGGGATCACAGGTGTGCATTGCCACACTCAGAAGAACATTGACACACTTAAATCACTGTTGAGTTTTTCATTTATTAAAGTTCTGGGTAAGATCTTTTTTTGTAAGATAGAGACTCTCTTTTTTTAAAAAATATCTTTTCACCAACCTAGAATCAATCATATGATCCAGAGTATTAGGAGTGTGCCTAAAGCATGTGGGAGCCATTAAAACTGCTAAGTAAATTGAAGAAAAAATAACACTTTGTGCTGGGCCTGGTGGTGCAAGCCTGTAATCCCAAAACTCAGGAGGCTGAGGCAGGAGAATTGCCACAAATTTGAGGCCAGCCTGAGCTCCATAGTGAGTTCAAGACCAGCCTGAACTGCATAGTGAGACCCTGTCTAAAATAAATAAATAAATAAATAAACAAACAAATAAGTGTACTTTGTAAAACCATCTCTGAATATATGTCTGAATCGTTCCCTTAGGAAGCATCTTTTTTGGGAGTAAAGTTTAGGTTTTGTTCCTGTGCTATTCATCTTAGAATAAACAAATGGGACACTTTTTTCAGTTTTTATATTTATGAGTACATGATTGCAGTACACAATAATTACATTCCTTGCTGAGTTGATACACATATATAACACATCTTAATTCTTTTTTCATCCTCTTTCCCTTTCCTTCCCTCCTCTCCATCTCTTAATCCCCTTCCCTTTTGCAAAAGCTCTATCTCCCAAGCTGGGTGTGGTGGTACATGGCCATAATCCTGGCACTTGAAAGGCTGAGGCAGGAAGGATAGCTGTGAGTTTGAGGCCAGCCTGGGCTACAATGTGAGTTTAAGGCCAGTCTGAATTACACAGTGAGACCTTGTCTCAAAAAAGACACATACACACAAAAAATCTAGTTCCCACTTCCTATCTTTTACAGTATTTTACTCTTATATGTTGAGTATCTCAAATAAGGGAATCCATGTGATATGTAGGCTTGTGTATCTGATTTATTTCCCTGAATATTATGGTCTCAGGATGCATCTGTTAAGTACAAATGACTAATAAATACAAGAAAAAACATTCAACATTGCTGGCCATTAAAGAAATACAAATTAAAACAACACTGAGATTCTCTCTCACTCCAGAAAGAATAGCTATCATCAAAAATCAAATAATAACAAATTCTGGCGAGGCTGTTTGGGAAAAGGAACACTTCTGTACTGTTGGTGGGAGTACAAACTAGCACAATCACTATGGAAATGAGTTTGGAGGTTTAAAAACAAAAACTAAAATTAGAAATTCCATTTGAGCCAACTATTCCCCTACCAGGTATCCTCCTGATAGAGTTAAGACGTAATATTGCACTGAACTATGCATAACCATGTTTATAGCAGCCTATTTTGTAATAGCTAAATCTTGGAAATGGCCTACATGCCTGTATCAGTCAGTGTTCTACAGGAGAAACAGCTGTAACACAAGGTATACAGATGTATAAGAAATTACAAGATCAGCTTACGATGGTCACCCACAGAGTCAGGTGAAGAAATGTGCAGAGGGTGTCTGCACACTGGAGACCGAAGATCCAGTCCAAGGTCTGGAGCACACTGCAGTGTCCTGTGAGTCCCTATCAGGAGGCCGACGGGTCTGTGATGGAAGGCTGAAGGATCTGAGGTGGAAGCCGAAGAGTCTGCGCTGGAAGACAATATCCAAGCTGAAGGCAAAGACTGGAGCTCCTCCAAAGAACAGAAGTGGATCTGTCCTTCCTCATTTTCCCTTTGTACCATCCAGGTGAGGAGCCACTCTAGGGCGGGTCTTCTATACCCCACCGTGCAGAATTGCTGAGCTGATTTAGTTAAGCTTCTACACATCTCAAGTGGACACGATCAATCAGCCACTACAATACCCATCAGCAGATAGATAAAAATATCCATGGATGGATGAAGAAAATGTGTTATTTATATATAATGGAGTACTACTCTGCCATAAAGAAGTGCAATTTTTAAAGGTAGAAAATTCTGTGATACTATATGTATAAATCAGAATTTTATTGCTTTGGTCCAGTGTCTTCAAGTCCTTCAGAAGAAAGGCCATATGCAAAGCTATCTTTAAAGTATAACACAAAAGAAAAATAGGTGAATTTCTGAGTTTAAGATTAGAACTAGCTTTTCATCAGAGGTAAACAGACCAGTGTATCACCAAAACCATGTAACTACTTCAGTGAAGAACAGGCCAAGAAATGGCTCACTGTCTAGTGCCTTATGGAATGACACACACCTGCTCATAGTGCCTCAGCCTTGCTTCCCACTGGGACCAGGCATGTGGTGAGCCTGGGGACCTCACAAGGGATGATGAAGCCTAGATGGATGAATCGCTGAGGGCCCAGGCAACTCCTCCTGGATGTGGTGGGCCCCTTCTGGCTGCATCTTCCCCAGAGCGGCCTATGCAATGGGAGCCTCGGAGAAGGACACAAACCAGGGCAGATCCTGCCCGGCTCTGGGGGCAGCTGGCCAGGCCTGAGGTCGGTGTCCCTGGCCTCAGGCCCAGGCTCCAGTCCTGGAAATACTCCAAGCTCTTGTGGAGCCTGGCTGGGCACACAGGGGCCAGGAGCAGGTGGGGCAGGGCCAGGGCAGCTGAGTTTAAACAGCAGAGGCACTGGGACGCATTTGGGCTAGATTCTAAGGCAAGAGAGATGAGAGGCAGCAGCTGTGGGGAGGAAAATGGTAGGCTGGGAGAAGCACCTGGCTCCCTGTGCTGCAAGCAAAGGAGAGCTGAGGGATGTGGGCAGATCCGGGGCCTTCAGGGAGGGCAGCCCACGCTCCTGGCTGTAGGTGAGGAGGAGGTGTCAGTGACAGCTCCGAGGGTTTGAGCCCAGGTGACTTGGTGAGGTGTTCTGGTCTGAGGGACAGGGAGGATTGGAAGAGGAGGTGCATTTATCTGGTCCATTTGAACCACCTGCGACTTCCCATGGAGCTAGGTGAGTTTGTACACCTGGAGCTCAAAGCCCAGCAACGGCTGAAGGTGCATGTATAGGAGGAAAGGTGGAACCTGAGGTTGTGGGAGTAAAAGGGTTGAGGACAGAAGTTTCTGGTGCCACAATAAAGCTGTATAAGTGAGTGACCGAGCTCACAGAAACCTGCCCCCACACCACCACAGATACACATATGCAGGTGTGGCTGGCATTGGGTTTGTGTCATGTGGACCTAACTGTTGCCTTAGCAGGTGGGCTTCATAAAAAGAGAAAGGTCTGTTACTTAAATCCTCTACTTTTTGGATGATATGAATGCTAACTTTCAAAGACTGCCCATGTTGCTTGTGACACTAACAAGTGTGCCAGGGCAGAAGCCTGGCAATGGCAGTGGCTGGCACTGTGTCACACGCCTGAAGTGACCATGCACAAGAGGCTGCAGTCGCTCTGTGCTGGTGAGGGAGGAGCACTTTGGAAGGCCCTGGTGGTGCATGGGAGCTAGGGCTCTTCTGTCTGGCATTTCTGTTGTAATTTTTCATCCCTTTAATGAAAAACAGCAACTGCCTTCTTATGAGAGCGGCAGAAGGTAGGCAGGGATTCTTTCAAGCAGACTCCATGCCATGGGCTCGGAGCAGTGACCCTGTCTGTAGGCAGCTGGGCAGAAACCAGAGAGGTGTGGGCCTTGGCACAGTGGACCAGCAGGTCTGCCCCTTGCCCAGAGCTAGCTGGGGGCATAGGGCTGCTTTGCTGGATTGGGGGTTGTGGAGACTAGTGTGCCGGCCAGGTGACATGCAGGAGTTCCCAGCACCTCAGATGGCCCCTTGCCGGGCCTGCCAGTGCCTAGGTTGCCTGCTTTGTCTTTCTGCTGGTAGCCAGTGCAGCCCCCATCTCCCTGTCTCCATCCCTGTTGTCCTTGGGCCCACCTGGAGAGCAACACCACTCCTCAGTGCCAGCCAGGGCTCTGCGTCTTTGTGCCCAGCCCCCCGCCCTAGCCCCTCACACACTCCTCTCCCAGTCAGGGCCAGTGCTGGCAGAGTCCCTGGGCCCTGGCTTCGAGTCCTTGAGACACTGGCCTACTGAGGAACTGCCTGCCGAGTCCCACTGCACCTATGGGACCCAGAGAGGTGAGGGCCCTCGTGCTCAGGCTCTTACTGACGCCACATCCCCCACTCTCCCATGGGTTGTGGGACACAGCACCTCAGTCCAGGGAAGTAGGGCCTGGCCCAGGGGCCTCCCACATCCAGGTCACAGCACTCACAGCCCCTGCTGAGGAGCCAAAGGTACATTCCACCATGGCTTTTAAAGAACTGTGCTCTTACTATGGGACTGGTAGCTTGGTCCACACTATCTCCCCGTAACTCAAGTGATAGGACAAGCCTCTTGTTAAGTGGGGTGCAGCCACCAACAACTATTCTGAGAGCCATCTTCTCCCTAACTCCCACATAGAGTCCTGGCCCTGGGTCTGCCAAGGCTTGAGGGCCATAGTCATGCCTGAGAGCGCTATGCATGCTGGGAGCTGAGAGAAGGTTGGGAGTGCTTTGGTTCTCTGCCATGGCCTCATTCTCTCAAGGCCTGGGGTGTGAGTTGGATCCCGCCTCGAACTGTCCCTTTCTGTCATCAGGTGCTGGACATGAGGCCTCTTCACACACCTGCCCTCACCTGCCGTCCACTGAGGAGCATTCCAATGCTGCTAGCTGCTCACTGGCTTGGTGTGGCTTCCCCATGGGAGGCACCTCTGGTCCCACCCCCAGCTTGTCCCTGCACTTTCTGTGGAGAGGGGAAGGGCTCTGGCTGGAGGGAGGCTGGTGGAACAGTGGGCAAAGCAGAGTCACAGGTCCCTTCTCTCCACTCTGCCCAGTCTCCTTTCAGGGCCTCTATGGGCAGAACCGAACAGCAAATGCACACAGAGGTAACATGTGATTTGTTTAGTCCCAGCCCCAGTGGCACCCACAGTGTGTGGGTCTGGGGCTGAGGCTCAATAGCTGGTGCCCAGCATGTGCCCTGCCCGCCTTCTGCTTGGCAAACTCTTGCCAACACCCCAGGCCTCAGCACAAGCCTGTCTCCTGGAGGTGTCCATGTGGACCAAACGCCTCGTGGGGGCTCCCACAGATTTTGTGTTCGCCTCTCCAGTGCTGTAAAATGACCTCTTCGCAAGTCGGTCTCCTTGCTTGGCCATGACTTCAAGCGAGACTTGTCTGTCAACTCCTGTCCTCCTCAGGGCTTAGAGCGCCCTCCTTGTAAGTCTTTGTCGAGCTCCTGCAATTTGAGGCTCTCCGGAAGACAGTCAGGGGAGGAGTGGTTTTGCTCCAGGCCATTTCTCCTACTGGGATTCCCAAGCATTGCCAAGTTTTCTCTCAAGATAGTAATTAAAAATTATTAAACACCTGGCAGGCACCGGGCACGATTCATTGTGGTCTTCACGAATCCACTCCTAGCACGCTTAGGACCCAAGGCCTGAAGTGAAGCAATTGACCAAAAATCACAGTAAGAAAGTGGAAGTAAAAATGGAATGCAGCCAGCCCGGGACCAGAGCCTGTGCCCTTCACTGCTGTGCTGTTTTTGCAATCGCAATTAAGAAAATGTGGCAACCGTCCGCGGTTGATGCCAAAGATGATGATGATGGTATTGATAAAATATTACTTTCACAGTGCCACTTCCCCCGCACATTCCCTGTGGAACCACGTCAAGTTTATTTTGGGACAACTGATCTTCCAGCTCTCCAAATGTGTATTTATAAGAAGAATCCCCGTTTCCGTGAGTGGACACGGGGCCCACGTTGGACCACCAGGCTGTCTTCGGTGTTGTTCAGGCTGGTACTAGGACAAGGGAGACGCCTCCGCATGGTTGATGCGGCCTCAGGCTTGTGCGGACGTCTGGGATGTGGCGCAAGGTGAGTCTCCCCTCTGGTCCCTGGAACTAGGCGGTCCCCCTTCGCTGCACCTGTGCCGTGTCTGGTTTCTCACAATGACTGAAAAAGCCCTCACTAATGCCATCTTTGAGTCCCCAAGCCCTTTCACAGGTCATTGCTTCTTGCGCCAGCCCAAGGAGCAGCAGGGCTGTCCAGAAGGGTAAACTGAGGCTCAGAGCAGTGGCCGGAAGCCAGGGCTGTGCCTTGGCCAGGATCCTGATGTTCCTTCCTCCTTCCACCCCGCGGGGCACTTTGGAGGGCAGGGCTTAGTTCCACCACCTACCTCAGCGGTAGCGCCCCGCAGCGACGCCCCGCCCGGCCTGGCCACGGCCGGAGCAGAGCGAGGTGAAGGCAGCGGTGCAGACCGCCCTCCGCACCCAAAAAGCCTGGGCTGGGCCGGAGCAGCCGGGAAGGGCTGCGGGCGCCCCCTGCGGTGCCCGCGGAGATGCGCGGGAGGCGCGGCTGGGCCTCAGCCTGCTCTGTCCCGGGCTCGCGGAAGCCGCTCCTCCGCACACCGCCGCGGCGCTGCGCAGGGACAGTGCCGGGCCTGGCTGCTGCGGTGAGTCCGGGTGAGACTCTGCTCCGCCCCCGTGAGGGGAGCAGGCACGCGGCCGAAGGGGCCGCCCCGTCCGTTCGCTGCTGCACAGCCGGTCCGATGGCACCCCGCCGGACTCCCGCGCCCTTTCCGTCCAGGTTTGGAAAGCTGAGCTCGGGGCGCTCGCTCCCCTCCACGGCCCGAGCTGGAAGGAACCTTTCTTTTCTCTGTAAAAACTGGTAGTAGTTACACAGGACAGGGGGTTTCAGTTCAGCATAGTCATAAGGCATGCGGCATACTTTGATTATTTTCACCCCTTCATTGCCCTTTCCTTTCGCCTTCCCATTCCCCTGATCCATTCCTCTTTTCTTCTCCTTTCTAGATGCTTTCCTATCTTCTTTTTAAAAAATGTTTTAGCTTCTACATACGAGAGGAAACAAGCAACATGTGACTTTCTAGGCTAATTTTGCTTAATATGAAGATCCCCGTTTCATATAAATGACGTGATTTCATTATTCTTTATGGCCAAATAATATTCCACTGTGTATATATACTACATTTTTTTATTCATTCATCTGTTGAGGGACATCTGGGCTGTTTCCTTATCTTGACTACTGGGAATTCTGCAATAAACGTGGGTATCCAGCTGTCACTATAGTGTACTGTCTTTAATTCTCTCAGGACTCTCCAAGGGGTGATATTGCTGGATCAAATGGTATCTCTATTTTTGGTGGGTTTTGTGTTTTTGAGACAGGGTCTTGTTATGCAGTCCAGGCTGGCCCTGAGCTCGCTTTGTAACCCAGGCTGGCCTCGAACTTGCAATGATCCTGCTGCCTCAGCCTCCTGCGTGCTGGGGTTATAGGCGTGCACCACCACGCCCGGTTTCTATTTTTAGTTTTTTAGGGAACCTCTATACTGATTTCATAGTGGTTGTACTAATTTATATTTCCAGCACCAGTGTAGAAGGGTTCCTTTTTCCCTACATCCACTCCAGCATTTTTTATTTTTTGTATTCTTGATGATAGCTACTTTGGCCCGGGTGACAGGAAATCTCAATGTAGTTTTGATTTGCATTTCCCTAATGACTAAAAATGTTACCACTGCCACCACCACCCCGTCCCTAGAAGTGGGACTGAACTCAGGGCCTTCACACTAAGCTACATCCTATCCCTTTTAAAAATATTTTATTTATTTATTTATTTATAAAATAAAATAAAAACATTTTATTTTATTTGAGACGTTCTCACCAAATCTCCAGGTTGTCCGTACTGGACTCAAACGTGTGATTCTCTTGCGTCAGCCTCTCAGAGTGTTGGTGCCACACGTGTGAGGTACCACATCCAGCTTTGTACTTCTTTTGAGGTGTCTGTTCAATTCTTTTGCCCATTTATGATGGGGTTATTTGTGGGTGTTTTTTATGCTAAGATTTCCGCATTCTTTATGTACTCTAGATATTAATTCTCTGTTGGAAGAATAGCTGGCAAAGATTTTCTTCCATTCTGCGGGCTATCTCTTCATGTTGTGAATTATTTCCTTTGCTTTGCAGAAGGTTTTAATTTGATGTCGTCCCATTTGTGGATTTTTGCTAATTTCCTAGGCTATTGGGATCCTATTCAGGAAGTCTTTGGCTGTGCCCATGACTTGACGTGTTCCTTTTTTAGTTCTCGTGGTTTCAAAGTTTCCAGTCTTTGTTCTTTGATCCATTTTCAGTTGATCTCTATACAGAGTAAGAGATAGGTCTCTAGTTTCCACCTTCTGCATGTGGATATCCAGTTTCCCCAGCACCATCTGTTAAAGAGGCTATCTTCTCTCCAGTGTGTTTTTGTATCCTCTGTCAAGAATCAGATGGTCATAGCTGCATGAGTTTCTTACTGTGTCCTCTCTTTTAGGCCACTGGACAGTCACTTTTTATGCCAGTTACAATGGCTTACTGGTATATTTTAAAATTTGGCATTGTGATGCCTCCAGCATTACTTGTTTTGCACAGGATTGCCTTAGCTATTTATTCTTCCATATGAATTTTAGGGTTTTTCTCCTAGTTCTGTGAAGCATGTCATTGGAATTTTGATGGGTGTTGTGCTGAATCCATAGATCACTTTCAGTCATAATAAATATAGCTATTTTTAAAAATGTTAATTAGTAGTCACATGGCCTGTCCTATGGGTACAGCCTGTCTGATCTTATGACTGCAACTTTAGAGATATCCCATTCCCCTCCCCCAAAATGCCAGAGTTCCAAGTGTAGTAAACACATACATACATACACATATAAAATAAGTGAAAGAGAGTATGTTCAATTGTATCTGAATTTCAGATAAGTGACAAATAATTTTTTTAGTGTCACTATATCCTGTATTTTATCTGTGAATCCTAAAGGGGCTCAAGTCCAGGGAGGTGAGGTGGCCAGTGTGACCCTGTGACAGGTAGTACAGAGTTCCAGCTGAGGGCTCTCACCCTGCAACCAGCCACCCCAGAGTGTGGCCATGCATAGCTGCTTTCAGTTGTAAATGGTGCAGGGGGAGGGAAGGCAAGGATTTACCCCACCAGAGAAGAGGAGTTACTACCACAATAACGCGCGTCTGCCCACACCCCGGGGGCAGCAGTGTCTGCGGTGGGTAATACTGTGTCAGCTTGTCTGGGCACCAGGTCCCCAGGTATTTGGTCAAGGTGTATCCACGAGGGTGTTTTGGGCTACAGTTAAAATTTGAATCTGCAGACTGAGAGAAGCAGATGGTTTTTCAGTGTGCATGGCCCCACAGACAAAAGCCAATCCTCTCCTGTCTAGTTGCTTCTGAGTCACATCTGTCATTTCTCTGCCTTCAGACTGGGACTGAAGCACTGGCTCTTCCGAGTCTTGAGCCTGCCAGCTTTCAGACTGGAACAAACCAGCAGCCTTCCTATGCCTCTGGCTTGATGACTACGGCTCTTGGGTCAGGTCGGCCTCCACGATCATGTGAGTCACTTCCTTATGACACACACATACATGCACCCTATTGATTCTCTTTCTCTGGAGAACGCTGACTTATACAGTACCGTGGGCCTTATGAGAAATGCATCTTCTTGAGCCTCATCACACCTACCGGATCAAAACCTCTGGGGCAAGGCCTGCAGGCTGCACCTAAGCAAACCGTGCAGAGGGGCTGGGGATTTAGCTCAGTGGCACAGCACTTGCCTGGCAAGCGTGAGGTTGAGAGTTCGATTCCTGGTACCAGAAAAAACTGAAAAACCAAACCGTGCAGGTGACCCTGCTGCTTGCTAGAGGTTGAGTGAAATCTTGCTACTCTAGCAGGGAATATCACTGGTGGGAGAGGAAGCTTGAAGCTCTTAACTAAGATTTTTTTCATCTTCCTTTGGGTTATTAAGTTTCACTGAGCACCCAGTTTGATTGGACCAGTCTATAAGTGGGCGATAAACATGTGCTTTTCTATGTAGCTAAGGTGAGTATGTGGTGAGGGGCAGATGAGAGTAGACACAGTCACCAGGGTTCCCTGGCCACACCATGCCCCTTTATGTGCTATGGGCAGGCCTGGCTTAATCAGGCAGCGTTGGGAGACTGGTACATTCCTCCAGTTGTGCAGTTCAAGCTGGCTTTTAATCTACTGGGGCACTCACTACCACACTCTACTCCGCTCTGTGCCAGTTAGTCTGTTTCTGAAAGTTTCTATCATCCAGTCTGAGGCTCCTTGTATTCTTGCTGTTCTATCATATGCTTCTCTAGGCCTCAGGATCTCATCTGCAAGACAAGGAGCTTAAGCCTGGGTTTACAGAGCAATGGCAAGGGTGGAAAAAGAGGTTTTAACAAGCTTCCAAAGGCACCAAGCAGGTGGAGGAGGTGTTACTCGCCTACTTTCTTCTGGTGGTCACGGACATTATCAGAAGGGTGGGAAGGCTGGCTGAGCTACACGAGGCCCACACAGTAGACTATGTGAAAGTGCTCTACAGCAGGTCCCAGCTCCAGCCATAAGATCCAGGAGGCCCTGTGGTGGTGTAGTATCCATGGTGGGAAAGGATGTGTGTGGAGTGTGTGGTCGGCTCAGTGGGAAAATATCAACACAGACCCCTGGCGTTAGCATTCTACAGCAAGGTCATGTGCTTTGCAATAAAGAACTGAATGCCTTTTTGAAAACAACTTCTGGCATGTGTCTGGGCCCTAGAGCAGACAAGAGGGCTGAGCGTGGGACAGCAGGTGAGCATGCAGCTGAAGTCACCTTCATGGGCTCAGTCCTATCAGAAACACCACTTAACAGCTGAGCAGGCCGGCAGCTACCCATGGGAAGAGGCCAGCCAGGGCTAATAATGGTTCAAGGGACATTGGGAGCTGAGCAGGAGCAGGATCAGAAGACACATGCAAGAAGCCCTGCAGTGCCTCTTCCCTCAGTTCTTATCTGTGGGTGTATGGAGGATCGAAGCAACCCACGGAAGGAGGAGGAAAAACCCCACCTACTTAACCACAGGTTCACTCAGCACGTGGGCGCAACCAAAGGGATGGCAGCTGTGTTGTAGCTATCACAGGACAAAGTAGCTTAGAGTATGATGAAAATGGCTTTCACCCCCTCCCTGTCATTTCTCCGTGGCTTTCATCCAGTCTCTCACTTGCATGAAGCACCTGTGGTTTTTGTTATTTGGATTTTTGTTTGTTTGATTTTTGGTTTTTGAGATTGGGTCTCACTAACTAGTTCAGACTAGTCTTAAACTCCCAGTGATCCTCCTGCTGCAGCCTCCAGAGTGATGGGATCACAGGCAAGCCCCACCCATGTGGATTTGGACCTAATCCTGTTGCTTCCTTGAACACTAGGCATTGTTATTCAAGTCTTCTTTCTAGTGACCCTTTGTTTCACCATTTAAAATGCCCCCAGCACTCATCAGCCGGGTCACTCAGTCCACCCGGCCTTCACGCCTGTCCCCTCCCGCAGCCCCCTGCCTCCGCAAAGCAGTCACACTCCCTTCTCCCTGTCTGTGTCCCCCCCAGCCACCAGCCTGCTGCAGGCCACCCTCCCCACTCCAGCATCACCTTGCCACAACCTCTGTCTCACCTCCCACCTGAAAACCAGAATGATTTTTTAGGAGACAGATCTCAATATTGTACACGTTGTGTTTGTCTCTGAGAACTGCTGACAAAATATACTGATGGAGCAGCTTAAATAACAGAAATTTATTCTCCCAGCCCTGAGGCTGGGAGTTCCAGGTGCCATCAGCATTAGTTCTGGGGAGGCCTCTCTTCCAGGCTTGTAGTTGGCCACTTTCTCTCCACGTTCTCACGTGGCCTTCCCTCTGCACAGGTCCTTTTCTTTTATCTCTTCCTCTTTCTTGGTAACACCAGTCCTGTTGGGCTAGGGCCCCACCCTCAGCCTTAAGTACTTCCCTATGGGTTCATCTCCAAATACAGTCATGTTGGCAGCTAGGGCTCCAACTTCTGAGTTTTGAGGGGACATAGTTCACTCCACAGCACAAGCCCACACATCACTAGCACTCTCAGGTCAGAGCAGACGCTTCTGTGTGGCTGACACTCCCTTGCATGAACACTCCTTAGCCTGTTCTCTGGTCTCATCTGGGCAACTGTTCTCATTCTTCTGTTGCTTCTCACTCCTTAAGCTTGTAGGCTTTCTGTTCTAGGTCCGCAGTGCATGCTGCTGCTTCTCCCACCTGAAATAGTCCCTTTTACTGCCCTTCCCTGCTCCCTTAGCTTGAATAATGTCTACTTGTTCCTCAGAAGATGGCTCACATGTCTTCATTACTCCATGTCCCTTGACCCCCAACGCCAAGTCACAGCCCCCAGTAGGATTTCCTCTGTGCATGCCTCCCTTCTTCTCTGGCATGTAATAGCCATCTTAGCTACTTTCTCATTGCTGGGACAAAATTCCCAACACCCACAAGTTAAAGGAGAAAAGGTTTATTTAACTCAATTTGTAGAGCTTTCAGTTCAGTTGGCTGGTTCCAAGGCAGGGTGGCGTGGCAGAGGAGAAACAGTCCATGGCATGGCAGGCAGGAAGCAGGGAGACCTTCTTCTTTCCTTTTTTATTCCGTACGGTCTACAAGCCTATTGGTTGGTGCCACCCAGACCCAGGGTGTGTCTTCCTTCTTCAGTAAGTCTATCCTCCACACTCAGAACTATGCTAAACCAATCAGTGAACTAATCTAGCATCACACGTCCATGATCCAGTCACTCCCAAAAGCCTTACCTAAGCATGTGTGGCTTTGGGGGGACATCTAGGTATAAGCCATAACAACAACACTGTAATGAAATCTTTAACTGTATAATTAATTGCTTAATGCTTCTTTCTCTTCATGGAGTGAAATCACCAAGAGAATAGGAACCATATCTGTATCATGTGCTGCTGTACCCCTGGCATCTAGCATGATGCACTTTATACACTAGTTGCTTTAAAAATAGTTATTTAAAAAATTCACAAAACTTGAAGGTAGATTCCACATGGCACTTTCAGATGGAGAGAAGAACCAGTAGTTATTGACAAGTTAACATCCATCTTTCTGCGACCATTTCTAACCAGGAGAGCCAGGCTGATAGAGAGCATATTATCCTGCCCTGTCTTGGAAACTGTGCAAAAGACTCTAACTGAAATCTCAGTGGTGAATGGTAAAGTTCCATTGCTGCCCAAATTGCTCAATCATGGGAAATTGTTTTCAAAACTGGCTGAAGCTATTTATTCCATGCTTCTTTGCAACTTGTTTTTGGTTCTCCTTCCAACCAGAAAAAGTGTTCAGTTATCTCCTCTTCAACCAAACTAATCTTGTGACCTGCTTTGACCAACAGAATTGGAGCGTGGTGGTGCAAAGATATGGTGAGACCACCCCGGAGGGCTGGGACCTGGCTCAGCAGCATACTGTAAGGATACGGGGAAATGACCGCAGGTGGGCCTCAGGGTAGCCAAGGGTTGGCAGCCAGGACCTGCAGACTCAGTGCTGCAGTCCACAGACCAAACTTTGAGTAGCAGAAGCCTAGAAGCTGACAGAATCCCTTCAAGCTCCTAGTGTGTCTTAGAGTGTAAACCTATGTGGACTGTGGCCGGAAGGAAGAGCACAGGAGGGCCTGGCCCTGGGGAACATCAGGTCTCTAGACAATTGCCTGGACCTCCTAGATCACTGATAGCAAACCTTTCAGAGCTTTTGATGACACAAACAGCCTGCTGAGGTGTGGGTGCCGTACATTCACCACCACTGCCCTAGATGGATACAGACCCAGTCCTTCCCCTCCTCTCACAGCCCCACAGGTGCCTTGCCTTCCTCCTAGTAACTGAGGAGGAGAGGAGGTTGAGATGTAAGATGACCGCAGCACACACATGTGCATGCGCACACACACACAGGCCTCATTGGGCCTGGCAAGTGAGGTGTTGCCGGGAGCTGCGGACAGTGCATCCAGTGACCTCAGCTGCAGGAGGCCTTTCTCCTTGGCTCCCCTGAGTGGAAGAGGAGGGGGCGGCTCACAAAGTAGGGATATACCTACCCAGGTCCTGTGGCTTCCCCAACCCTGCCCCTCTGTCCCCACTGTGTGGCTGACTGGAGGGCCTCCTCAACTGATACTTGCTTCCCAGTTTTCTCTTCTCTGAGCCATCTGCCCTTTCTGGCCTTGGGAAACATGGTGATGTCACCCCCTCCTTAACACCTTCTGTAATGTAATATATTCACATTTAAAAATCATTGACTCTCCTTTTGGCTTCAATTTAAACCACTCACCTTCTCTATAGGAAGAGTTAACAGGGCAGGCCTTCCTGCTTATCTACACAAAGGCTGGCTGATGAAGGTAGCCCTTGCCCGGCATCTGGGAGATTGGATTTGGGATCAGTTCTTGCCATCAACTGTTAGTAAGAGGCTCACTGTATAAAAATCAAGGTTGACACTGAACCTGTGCTTTCCATCTTTCTGGGGGTCTGGAATCTGGGTACACACTAGGCAGAGGGTGTGACCAGCCTTGGATTAGTGTTCGCCAGAGAAGAAGAATCTGAATAATATACATATTTGGAGAGACAGCCAAACAGATATTTCTTTATTTTTTTGATGAGTTTATTAGTACATGTGTGTAGCACACAAGACTTACATTCCTGTGGGAAGTCGGTACATGAACATAATGAGGTCTTTATTTGACTTGGCTAGCAAGGTTAAAATCTGTGGATGACCACTGGGATGGCTTTCCTTAAAAGAAGACCATTTGTCTCCGTTGGCTAAACCTGGCCCTAATTCCGTGTATTGATATGTACAGAGCTGGGTGGGATAGTACTTTACTTCCTCAATTGGCTTTAAGCAGTGCAAATAGGTCTAACTGAGGTGCTGATGTGTAGCCTTTGAAGCAATGCAACAGGTCACTGATGCCCCGCCTACAGCTCCCAACTACTAAGAGCCCATGGTGTCTCAGGGCATGAAGGACTGGCATCAAAGCTGAGCAACTGACCCCAAAACACAAGATATTTCCTCAAACTATGTTATGCAGGTTTCTTCAAACCTAAAGGCTGCCTGTTGCCATGGTACTCTTTCTGCAGACCTCTCCCTGCATATTGCAGAGGTGCTACTGTCCTTCCTACCTAGCCCAGCTCACTGTGCTCTTATACTTCCTGCCATTCTCAGTCCCTTAATACCAAGCCACTCCTCTCTTCACGAATTAATAAAACCCAGGTTCCACCTGGGTTGTAGCCTTTGTTCTGGTTAGCCACTATTTGACCGGACTTAGGACCCTTGGTTGCCCACAACTGCAGACAAACGTTTGTCCCTACTCTCACCATGGGTTGCACTGGCCGTGGTAGATTGGAATTTACTTATTAGAATTCCAATAACTTTTCCCTGGGAATACAGATATAAACTCCTCCAGGCTGAGATGAGGCTGGAGCAGGCTGTCTATAAAAATCTGGAGGGCAGACTGGCAGGCTGGAGATTCAGAACTGATGTTGCAGCTTTAAACTCGAACTCTGTAGGGCAGCAGGCTGGGGTTCTATGCTGCAGTCTTGAGAAGAATCCCCTCTCCTCTTTAGGAGAACCTCAATCTTTGCTCCTCTGGCCTTTATCTGATTAGCCAAGGCCCACCCACATTATAGTGGGTAATCTACTTTACTCCAAACCTACTGACTTAAACAGCCACGTCTTTAAAAAGAAAAAACAAACATTTATGGCAACATCTAGATTGGTGTTTGACCAAACATTTGGGTATTACAATCTAGCTAAATGCATAAAGGGTTAATCATTAGTCCCCAGTGAGAATTGTGGGCACTGAGCCTGTAAACTGCTTCCTTGACTGGTAATGTTTGCATGCGTCGTTGCAACGCATTGATGGAGAATTGTGTACTGCAGACTTCACTGGGAGAGGACCTGAACTGAGGATTCTCAGGAAGAGCAATTTCTCTTTCACCTGGTTCCTGCCGGATCTTGCCCCATGCCGCCTTTCCTTTAATGAATCGGCATTGGAGTTTTCTGCTATAATAAAGCACACCTATTTAGTCCAACCAGTCCTCTTAGTGGATCATCAAAACTTGGAGTGGGTTAGGGTTATCCTGCAAGCTCCTGACACCTCCAGATGCTCAGATCTGGACCCGGCCAGCCTCTGAGTCCCAGAAATTGCCTCTGCCCACCTTGTGTCCCACATTGCTCCTGTACCTAGCTACCAAGTACCCGAGTATGCTATGTCACCTCTGCCTCCACATCTGGAATGCCTTTCTTCTATCCTCTTGTCCTAGCTAATTCCTAGGCAACCATCCAGGCCCAGCGGGTTGTGGCTGCCATTTCTGTGGAACAAACCACCCCAAAATATAGTGGCTCGAGACAGCAACGATTTACTGCATTTCATAATTTTGCAGGTTGTTGTGTCAGACAGTTCTCCCTCCCGTGGGTTGGCCAAGCTGTGAGGGTGGAAGGTTCTGATGGCGCTGCCCACACAGGTGGCCACAGCGGTGAGCTTAGCTGAGGGGAAGGGCCAAGGATGCAGTTTTCTTCTGTAGAGTACATATAGGCTTCTCCACATGGCTGGTTGATCTTCGGAAATAATGGCAGCTAGCTTCCAGGAAAAACTGTTTCAAAAGGGCAAGTCCCGATATGTAAAGACTTATCAAGCTGCAGCACGCGTCACTCATGCTGATGCCCCCCTGACGAAGCCAGTGCCTGGGCCAAGCTCAGTCGTCACAGGAGGAGACTACAAGCAATGAATACGGGGTTGCAGCTCGCTGGGGGCCACAGCTGCAGTACACCATTTGGCTCAAGCTTCTCAGCCTCTGCGGGCCCTGTGCTCAGCCACCACAGCACTTGCCACACTAGACACATGCCCCTGTGGGCAGGGGAGTCCCCTGACGCCAGGCTGTATTTCATTCTTCCCTGTACTCTTTCCTGGCCCAGAGGACTTTTGCAGGATGAGTGATGGAATAAAAGCAACCATCACCATCACTGCCAGGTTCAGGGCCTGTCCCTGTGTCAGTTAGTTCCTCTGGCATGGTGATGTGTTGGGGACCACTACAAAGTGGCTCTGAGCAGGATTTAATATTAACCAATTGGCTTTCCATGTTTACTTGTGAGTTGTCCAAAGCTTAGGCACCTTTCTGACAAGATAAAGCCACAGCTGAAGACGTTTGGCTCCAACCCCAATTAACTCCCAGGAGACTGCAGCTGCAGGCCCCACACTCCTACAATAAATACCAACCTAAAGATAAGGTATTTCTCCTGATTGACATAATTTACTACTTGGGAAAATTTTCCCAAGGTCCTGCGAGATTCCTGCGTTTTTTTGAGTATCCTCTCCCTTTGTTTGAAAACCTAATAAATGATGCTGTCCAGAGCAGTCTTGGGCTAACTCAGAGAATACTGAGACTGTAAGGGAGTTAGTCCCTCCTGGTACCCTGAAATCATTACATTGTTGCATTTATTTAAGCCTTTGATGTCCACTTGCTTGGGAGATTGCAGGCCTGATCATCCTGCAATAACTTAGGGTTATTTAACCCAGTTTTTGATAGTGACGCACACCTGGGATCCAGCACTCTGGGAGACTGAGGTAAGAGGATCCCAAGTTTGAGTCCTACCTGGAGAACTTAGTGAGACTGTGTCTCAAGATGAAAAAGCTGGGATGCAGATCATTGTCAAGGCCCTGGGTTCAATCCCAAGCACAACCAAAAGAAAAAAGCTCAACGGCTGTGATGCCTTAAGCATGCTATATTGTTAAATTCTCTCAAGCAGGCCAGTGAGGTCCTAGGAGGAGGTCCCTGGCAGACAGGAAGCACCTAACAATCATCTGTGGGAAGAATGAATGAAGGAACGAAGGAGTGGAGGTGCTAGTGAGCACTCAGATTTCCAAGCTGTGAACGCAGCAACTTCTTTCTTACCCATTGTGACCCGGCTGAGCAGACCTCAGAACCCCAGCCCCACCGCTAGATGAAGTAGTCCCTTCAGAGCTGTCAAGGGAAGCATGCTCTGTGCTCTCCCGTTGGACCACGGTCCTTAGGAAGAACAATTTCTGTGGCCCAACTATGCTCCACAGCCACGCATGACTGATGCAGAGCCAAGGGTGCTTCCCAAGAATGTGTTCTGTGCTCCCCAAACTTGTTTCTGAGCAGTGATTCCTAATATAGGCTCTGTCTTGTTCTATAAATAGCCACAGACACAACTTCAGTGGTAAGTACACTGGAGTGTGGAAATCCATTGTGAATCGACTCCTTCCTATTGCAAAATTCTGACATCATAAGGGAACATAAGAAGTAAATCATCCCTGTATAAATACTCTGATTAGCTCATTTACTTTCAAGACTAAAAAAGGGAAAGAGAAAAGACCTGATGTTCTGGTCCCCCTGAATCGGCCGCCAGGAGTGCTGACAGGCTTCCCTTCAGCCACATGAATTTATTCTTCCCAGTGATGCCACGCCTCCTCTAGGCGCCGTCCTTTGGATCTCTATTTAAGCAACTCTCATAAAAGAACAACTTGAATAGTAAAACTAAATAAAAAGGATTTTTCTGTTTTACAAAAGATTTTTTCCATTTCACAGAAAGATTGATATTCTTTTCAACAGGTAAACTCTCTTTTAGTCCATTTAAATGAAATCCATACAGTTCAGGGGCCACAGACTGGTTCTGTTGGCCAAATCTGGCCCACCCTGTCTGTGCAGTTTCTGAACAGTACACAGTGGCTTATTTTTAAATCCTGAACTCTGATAGCTCAGTGATGATGGCACGTTCTCCACTTCCCTGCAGTCGCTACCACTAGCTAATGTCTTACACAGTTACACACCTGCAGGACCTCTGTGATCCTCAGAGTTGTGCCTCTCATTTTACAAATGCGGAAACGGAGCCCTAGAAAGGGTGATTTGCTCAAGACTGCTGACCTAGGAACCAAAAAGGCTGGAAAGCGGCTCCTCTGCGTGCTGGCCTGAGCCCTTCTCCCTTCCGTTCTCTGAACTCCTACCCCACCCTCCTGTGGGTTTGGTTGAGTCAGTAAATGCACACGTGATCTCAGCATATGCTGTGGAACTGGCAAGCATTTGCTGGGATGGATTTTGTAACCGTAGCACTTACATAACAGCAAGCTCTCATGACCTTCCTCTTTCCTTTCTGCCCTCCTGTTCCGCTGGGCAAGACAGACGTCACTTGATGTTGCTACCTGGCAAAACTCATGTGTGGAACCTCATGCATTTTTCTACTTTTGCCTATCACCACTTCTTTTTTCCTACTGAGTGGCTCCACTGGAACCTTAATCCACACAGGAAATGTTTCAGATGGGCCTTTCTTCTGGAAAAGTTCTACTTGTTATTGAAGAGCCTGCTCAAAAGCTACCTCCAGTGTGAAGTTGTGTCCATCCTTTGTTTACAAGTTCATAACATCACATAGCACAGTGGTGCACGTGTGTGCTTTCGCATTTGCCCTGCGCCTCACTCAATCATGTGTGCCTTTGTTTCCCTTCTCTCTCTCCTCAATCTGTGTTTACTGAACTGAACTGAGAGGACTGAGGTTCCTGTGATACTTCCTGAGAAGAATGAATAATTGCCACTTTGCTACAAAAATTGGAGGGAGACCTAGAGTTTGATTTTCTTTTTGGGGGGGAAAGGAAAGTAGATCAAGATGCACAAAAGTCTGTATCACCTCTACTGTGCAGGATCCTACTGCTTAGGGTTGGGAGTGAGGGTTGGACAGGGGGAGTGGGGACAAGGACTTGGAGGTAGGCAGTCAGAGGGCAGAGTCGGAGCTTCCCCAGGTTTCAGTTCCTCCAGGAGTCTGAGCCGGATGAAGTCTAGCAGTGAGTTTAGGACAGATAAAAGGAAATCCCACAGGCAGAGCCAGGAGGATGAGCAGATTCCAAAGGGCTCCCCAGAATGACTCGGGGGACAGTTTCTAGAGGATGAGCCAGGAAGAACCTCAACTTCCAGACATTCTGGAGCAGTACCGACCAATAAAGACATGTGACCCACGGGTGTGATTTGATGTGTTCTAGTTGTCATGTTAAAAGTAAAACAAAGTGCTGGGTTGGTGGTACACGCCTGTAACCCCAGCACTTGGGAGGCTGAGACAGGAGGATCACTGTGAGTTCGAGAGCAGCCTGGGATACACAGTGAGTTCAAAACCAGCCTGAATTACGCAGTGAGACCCTGTCTCAAAAAACAAAACAAACAAAAAGTGTAAAAAGGTGAAAATAATTTTCATCCAATATCTAAATAGATTTAACACTAAATCTCACATATTTAAGAAAATAGCCAGTATATTTTGAATCTTAACATTTTGATTTATAATCAATATAAAAACTGTCAGTGAACTATTCTGCATGCTTTTCCCTCTACGTCTTCACATTCTGATGTTTATTTTATGGTTACAGCATATTTCTATCTGGTTGCTAAATTTTTATAAAAATAATCTCTATTTAGATTTCATAAAATGTCCAGCTAAAAAAGGTAAGTTGTTTTAAAAACACTTGTTTGCCAATAACTAAATTGAACATCACTTTTAAAAACTAATTAAAATCAAATAACATTAGACCCTCAGTCACTCAGTGGCCCTTGTGACATTTACAGCACTGTACAGCCTCCTGTGATCAATGGCTATTGTGTGACACCTGTTTCAGAGTGAGCAGGGGCTGCCCAGTGGGCATCACCTGTCCTTGGCTGGCCCTGGGCAAGGCTGAGGTCAGGTCATAGTCTTTGTCCATGTCCGAAGTGAAACAGTCTAGCCCTGTGGATCTCCTGTGAGCGTTGCCGTTTCCTTCTCAACCCACGGTCACTCCCGGTTTCAATCTCCATGCTAGAGAAGGATTTTCCACCTGTGGTCACTCATAGCTGGAGACCCCACAAGTGAGTCGGCAGCTGCATGACGTATGGCTCCAGGCGGATCAGCCAGGACTTTCTTGGCTCCTCCATTTGAAATAGTGTGGCTAGTTCTAGAAGAACCTTCCCATTTTTAAAGCTCACTGCAACCAGATGGAAATCCTAAATTTTTCTTAGAGCTTTTAGTTACTCTTTAAATCAGAAAAAAAAAAAAAAAAAAAAAAAAAAGATCCAATGGCTTTGAAGAAGGACTAATGCACTGCTGGTTCCCGGGATATTGTTACTGGTAATCTGTTACTTCTAACTATATCAGAGTATCCAGCAGTGGCTTTTTTCACTTGGGAATATCAGATGACTTGAGGGGTTAAAGTTGTTTTACATTTGTGTAATTATAATTAGGGGGAAATAAAACCCATTGGTTTGTGAATTAGTGAGCTTATATGTATCTATGAATTTCTAGGGAACCTACTTATAAGACAGTCTTGAGAATTTTACAATCTATGCAAGATTGTACAATAAAAATAATCACAAAGCACTTGTTTTAAAGCTTATTTTAAAAAGTAATAATTTTTTTTTAAAGAGAAAGAACCCATAAAGATGGCCACAAGGTGGCACCAAAATCTAGTCAAAATTTCAATTCCTGGTCTTTGAGGAACAGGGAGTACTTTACAGGAAATACTGGGCAAAAAGCAAAAAAACAAAGAACAAATCAGGTTGACAATTGGGAACAGATTTATTTCCTTTCTTTTGTTCGAAAGATAATTTCTCTCCATGGATGGGAATATGTTACCTGTCATACAATGAATCTGTGTTAACCCAATGAATTGTTGAAGATGAACTGAAGAAGTGAATTTCATCACCGCCTTGCAGAAGAGTGCACTGTGGAGGGCGAGGGCAGGCGGGGGTTGCGCAGCAGGTCAGCCAGTTGGGAAAGCTTCTTCTGGGCGGTGTGGTTTCTGAAGCAGCCAGTCTCCACAGGGCTGTCAAAGTACCCTGAGCAAAGAAACCCAAGTATCATGAAAAGAAGTTGCTGCAGATTTCAAGTTTTTCTATTTGTTTATTTTGGCATATTTAGCAACTGCATATTTTTAACAATTATTCTGATATACAGATTTGAGCTTAGAACACCTCATATAACATATCTAGAAATCAGGAAAGGATTGAATTTAATCCTTTATCCTTATTCTTTAAGTTTTTTTTTTTAAACACATGGTACAACACTTTAATTGTTTTACATTTTCTTAATTTTAGAAGCTTCAGGATGCAGCCAAGATTCTTAAGCTATATTAAGACCAAGGAAGCCGTTTTAACAATGCAGTCATAAAAAATTTCGGCTAAAGGAAGAAAAACAGGTGTAGATAAGAAGGCTAACTTAAAAAAAGTCCAGATTGAAGCCTAAACCGATGACCTAAACAGAACTATCTGGCTGCTGACAGATCTTTTCCTTTGGTCTGAGAAACAGAAACAGAACAAAACAGAAGGAGAAGTTGGGCCTTGCGGGGAGCCAACCCTGTTCGATCTGCTCCCCCCCTGGGTGGCTCCACAGGCCAGCCACACTAGCAAATCCCTGACTGACTGCATTTGTGGGGCCGCACAAAGCGCCTGTCCATCCTAGCATATGAATCTGACGTGAAGCATGATTTCTGCCTTCGTGGGTTTGGTGGGTGCGTGTTAAAGTAAAACTGGAGCTGAAGAAAGAACCCCCTAAGAAGCGCCAAGTAAGTGCAGAGCATTTGGGTTCACTCTCTACAGTCACTGGCTTGTTTATTTATTTATTTTTGAGACAGGGTCTTGCTCTGTTGCCCCGGCTGACCTCAAATTCCAGGGCTCAAGAGGTCTTACTGACTCAGCCTCCCTAGTCCTGGGGTTACAGGCAAGTGCCCACAAACCTGACATTTACTGATTTCTTGCAAAGGGAAGAGACAAAATCCTGCCTCTCCCCAACAACTCAGTCTAGAAAGCAACATAGCGATGGGAGGCAACAGCCTAGGCATGATAGGTAGGTCTCTCTTTTGCTTTTTCAAACTGGGAAACATTCCATTTCTTCTACCCTGGATGTAGCTCCCTGCTTAGCCGTCAGGTTAAAGCCTCCATCCCGGCCGACCTGGGTTTCAGCAGCCCCCACCAAGGAATTCCCTGCTCACACTGGATCCAACTCTCCCAATCTTTCCGCTTTGTTCCTCCTTTCCCATTCTTCCTGACTCCTGCCCATCTCTTCTGTCCACTGCAAGGGGCTGACTTAGGTCCTTGTAGATCAGAGCTAACTGTCGCCTCCTACAGGGTCCGGGACAGACTGGTTAAGCGCTGGTGTGTATCTGAAGGCTGGAGGTCTAGCACCTACCACCTAGCCTCCGTGTCCCCACCTGCAAGCTCCCCCTCCTTCCGGCTTTGGGTCTTTTGTCTGCTCGGTGGGCGCTGGATGGGCCCTCTTGTATTCTGCCGCAGGCAGTTCTCCGATTTGAAGATCAGGACCACAGTAAGTGATGCAGAACTAGCCGCCTCAGCCCCTTCCTTCGTCTCCTGTGGGGGCCACAGCGGTGAGAACTGGCCTCGGAAGGGCGGCCAGGCCCAGGCCCACCCACTCTACTGTCTTCTGCACGGGTTCTAGCCCAGAGCAGTCATTAGGCCCGAGCTCAGCACCGGGTGGCTACCAGAACCCAGGAGGAAAAGAAAGAAGGAAGCCTTTTAGCCTGAAAACAAAAGCTTGTTTGTGTGGCTGTTTACTTAAAAGCGAGCCAGAGCCACGTAGGGGCCGCCCCTCCCCGCAGGCCGGCCACCGCCGGGAGCTCGGACCCGGTCGCGCCACTCGGCGGCGAAGGGAGGCGCCAGCCCCCACAAAGCCCCGCCCGCGGGCGTGACCGGAAGTACGCGAGGCCCCCAAGATGGCGCCCGAAACCCGGAAGTGAGCGGCAGCCGCTAAGAGGCTCGG